AAATCTGCACTCCAAGGCCCACAAAGTCCTGCACCTGCCACCAACTCCCACATCAAAAACTCCTGCGCCTGCCACGAAATCTGCACTCCACGAAACACTACGACTACCACTACGATACTGCTGCTATTATAGTACTGTTGCTACTCTTACTGCTACTGCTATTTGGAATATATTTTTTGAGCCAGTAAATGTTTTTTTTACTGATGCGTGTAGAATATTTTTTTATTGATATATTTTTTTTTGATCTCTCAACCCCTCTTGGCTCCGTCCCGCCTCGGACCCCTCTGGCCGCCCCGAGCGGCTCGGGGCGGCCCGGCAGGGCCGTCGGGCCGACCAAACCGATGAGAACGGCCACGACTCTCCTCCCGCCCGCCTCCCGCGTCGAATCGAAACGCTCCGAGGTCCCAGCAAGCGATCTTCAGCTGCAATCACGGCAATGGCTTGGCGTGCTTGGAGAGCCTCTTGGGCGCTCAAGACCCATGGCAGGTATAGAATGGTTCTTGGGACTGACTCACCTAGATGGATCTTCCGACGATGCATTCTTTTTTTTAAAGGCTTTTAGTGTATAAAACCAGCTGACAGGCATACATCTTGCATAGTTGGAAGATCTAGGTGCATAGACCCCCTGTCATAGATAGAAGTTCGCAAAACCCCACGAAAAATGTAGACAGGAAACCATGCCACGGTCCTCTATGTAAGGGAACCACTATGGTCTGGTTCGTTTGTGGACGTTCTTTGGGCGAGTTCCGACGTTCCGGACCCCCAGTCGACCGTCGTTCTGCGCCGCATGATGGTGTGTGTCTAGTGCGTGGGAATTGTTCCTGTACCATCACGGTCTGTCAAGCAGTTTACTGGGCTGACACCGTGCGGATGGATGACGACATAGGTAGCTGACCCAGCCCGGAGCCCTTCGCATCCTTCGCTGATGGTCAACCAACCAGTGTGGTCACTCCTTGTTCGCTAGTAGGTTGGAGGCCATTACTACCAGTAACAAGAAGCTACGTTCGGGGCTCCTGGCCTTACTAGGAGCAAGGACGCTACGACCAGGCCTCCTGGGCAAGAAGCTACGCACGTAACAAGAAGCTATTAGTTAGTTCAACTCTAACTCCATGGACTCCACGGTTCCGCCGGAATCGACGCGCCGCTCCGGTCCTTAGGTCGGCAGTGCTACAGCGATCCTAACACAGGGGAGGTCGCCATGGAAGGACCCATGTGTCTTGGCTATTCTTGCGGGGGATTCTTGTGCCCGTGTTTGGTTGAAATCTTTGCGAAGATTTCTGCTCGACAGATGACCTAATTCGTGGCTTCTGAACCTTTCTCTGGCAGGGAGAAGGCTTCAGCTATGGAGTTCTCAACTTGACCAGACAAATCGACTGGTGACTCCTTTTGATGATTTCAGCACCACCTGCACCACCGTGTCAGGGAGTTATCCCGAAAACCATGTCAGATAGATGTTTGTCCCACTGTTAAAAGTTTGTAAGACTGCGGCTTTGAGAGGTGTTTTGAGATAGTTTCTTGCTTGCTTCCTTTATCAGCCTTTACACCTGGCTGGTTTTCAGAAACTGGAGCTTCTTGAGATACCTACTACATGAAGACAATCGAACACGTGATGTGCCACCCAGGTGTGGAAGCTGCAGACCAGGCCCGCACCGCTATCGGCCAGGGCGAATCTGTGTTTTGGACACTGCAAGCCGTGCAGGATTGCTAGTTGAATGTGCAGAAGTGGTGCGAAGTGGTGTGAAAATCAAACCCCTGCAAAAGACAGAGGACTCATGGATTTCCGCAAATGTCTAAATGCTTCATGTATGGGATTTTGACCAAGAATGGCCCCATGGCCATGTGCTCATATTATCTCATATTTCTGCTCCGATCCTTGCTCGAGCCAACTCAAACCCACCATGGCGCACGGTGCAGAGCCAACTGAAACCCCACGAGCCTGAAGGGCGAATGGCCAGGCTTTGCCAAGCCGACTGGGAAACCTTTGGACCTCTGTCGGAAGTGTGGCTCCAGGACCTGACCGCGTTGACGCGACGAACGCGATGACGCGCGATGATGGCGTGGCGCGATGATGCGTACGCCGCGGGAGGTCGGGCAGGTCCGCCTTCTTTGTTTAACCAAAGCAAGCGCAAAGTGGACATGAAAAAACGAATCTTTAAAGCAAAAATAGTTTCTTTTCTCAATGGACTGAACAAAATGTGAACTCGACTCGACTGGACTCTAAGTGCACAGTTGGCAAATGACCAGTCCCCGGACCCACAAGGGGTGGGTGGTCCATGACCCACAAATACTTTCTTCGGTTCACAAAATAACAAGTCATGTAGACTTGATTCATAAAACCACCTCAATCATTTGGATTTCAATACCTTTTCATTTGGGGTTTGTGAATCAAGAGTCCACATGACGGGACGGGAAAGTGGTGGCAGCTGTCCTCCTTCCGCTGTCCCAGATCTTGACAGCTTGTGACGCTTGGTGACTCTGGAAGGAGAACTCTTCTCGGCTCGGTGAGCTTTCAAGCTATGGAAATGGCTTTGTTATGAAGGTTGGTGAACTTTGGATCGAACTAGGAGTTTTTTTTTTTTTTAAATTTCTGGGGAGACGGCACGCTTGAGTGGCTCTGTGAAGCTTGATTGATAAGCGTTCATTCGCGTGTCACCATCTTCTTAGCATGTCACCTGCAGGACGGCGAACGTGGTGGGCGTCAGCCTGCAGCTTCTCACTGTGGTGGGAATGGCCTCCTTTCTGATGATCGCCTCCCGCCTGACTGTCCACGAGTTTGTGGGGTGAACTCACGCCCTTTTTGCGGGGTGACTGTGTGAATTCCGCATGCTGAACCGTTGGGTCATTCCGCGTGACTTCGAGTCAGAAAGCCCCAAGAGTGGTGGATGTTTGGAGGTCTTCCGGTCCTTCGCCCGTCGCTCGTCTTCCGGTCCTGGTTTCGCATGTTTTGGAACGGTCCCTTTTGCTTCTCCGACCTGGAGTGTTTCTCGCTCCGGGGACCTGGGTGACGAGTTTCGCTGTCACAGAGAGGCGTGAAGAAGATCACATGATCTCAGAAGACACAGAGACACACACACACACACATGGATCACACATGCTTTCGTCGTCCGAACGGAGACGCGTCCCCCTTCTGATCAATTCGGCGAGGTGAACGCCTTGTCGGACTATAGCAAGCCCAAAAACATCTTGTCCATCATCTTGAAGCAATTCTTCAATTACATCCAGCCTCTTGGAGCTATTGAGAGAATAGGATCCGGCATCCCGGAGCATGAAGCAGCTCTGTGAGTCTGAAGGGGCAAGGGCCTTGAACGGTCACCGGGACAGAATTGTGGAGTAAAACGTGACAGAGGCACGGAAACAGACATTTTGATGGATGAGCCCCTTCTTGCCCTTCTTGGAGGTCTTTGCTTGCCAATCGTAGTGATGTTTTCCACTCCAATCGCATCTTCTTTTGTTTGCACCTTAGAACACCACGCGATGCATTGCCCGAAACCCGCCTGAGGATGGCCTTTGCAGTGCTCTCCACAGGCGCGTCCCCCTGGGCCTCGCCCAGCTCACGGCACCGGCCTCGATCGTCGCCGCAGGCGGAGACCATGGGCTGTACGGAGGTCTCAGCTTGGTCCAAGCTTTCGACCTTGGGCAGGAGCGTTGAGGGCGGGTGGGTGGCGGGCGACAGTTGTTGCCCAAAGTCTTGTTTTTTCTTGCACGTTTAGGCACTGGCACAAAGAATCAAAAGGATCATGTCATAGCAGAAAAACAACATGACGCATCCGACACATTTTGCTTCTTTTGGCGCTTCCATCACATCGATCCACTCAGGCCCCTTTCGATGAACAGCCGAAAAAGCCGCATCTTGCGCCGGAAAACGCCCTTCCGCGCCATGCAGGACTACCTGGGGCTGAACTCGGCTGCCTGGGTCCCAGAGGCGAGCGCCTGCCTCATCCAGGACCTCTTTCCCAGCTGGGAGATCCACAAGGCGGGCCGGCAGGTTTCAAGACCCTTTTCCAAGCGTAATGCGAGTTTCGTGAGTTGCGCTTGGACCGGAGGTTTGGGGCACCTTTTCGGAACCCAAAAGGACGGGGGGGGTCGGAAGGGCCTTTCCCAAGACCTTCACGATGGGATTTCGAGGGCGATCGCCGGCGGAGCCCTCCGTCCGTTCGAAGGGAAGAGGGGCTTGACCCGCGCCCCGACCGCCGGGCCGGGCCGGGCGAGCCTCCGACCGAGCCTCCGGGTGGGTCGAAGAGACGGGGCCTCAGAGGATGGTGCGATGCGACCTCGGAAAGTGCGGCAGCACCTGATCGATTCTGATAAGTCTCGAAAGCAGTATCTTCTTGCTGGTGATGCGCTCATGAAGAAACGGTGTTCTTCATTCCTCCAATGCAATCTTTGGTCCTACTTGCGCAGCATTAGGCTGGGTCCATCCCATTCTTCGATGGTTTGATCCGGGCGGTGGGTCCATCGATTCGATCCATCCAAGGCCCCATGGAACGGCCATCCGGTCCCACGGAACGCCCGAAGGACCCCACCCACCGCAGGTCTACACGGTGATCGGCCTGGCGTGGTTTCCGGGCACCGCCCCGGCCTCAACGTCGGTAGACCGACGTCGGTAGACCGGCCCACTGAGGTCAAACCCAGAAGCCTCCCAGAAGCGGCACATCGACATGACCATCTCCCTTTTAAAATTCACACATTGACATTGACATTGACACATGTATCATCATCATCATCATCATCATCATCATCATCACCACCACCACCACCACCACCACCACCAGCAACACCAGCAACACCACCACCACCACCTCCTCCTCCTCATCCTCATATTTTGTAGAATTACAGCCAGACTTTCAAGCACATTTGTGCTGCTGAGCTGTACTCATATGTCGTAGTCAATGAACATGAACTATCGTAGAAGGTAAGCCCCTCGACTCTGCAAGCTCAACATGTCAAGAACCAGAGAAACACAAGCATCTAGGGAACCCGCCCCCACCAGGCCTCGCATATGATCAACGTGTTCCTACGCCATCAACATCATATATATATATATACATTAATATATAACATCTTTTTCCGTGAGCCAGCCCCAGCAAGGTCATGGGTTGGACTTTGGGCGAGTGAATTCACAAGCAGCCATATTTGTGAGCTTCAACATCAAGTGGTCAACAGCAATCTGTCACCCTTGTCTAGAGGCTTTGTTACAATCCGCACCACAACACCGAGACATACATGAAACTTTGACCAATCGCTACTTGTGTATCACATCTTGAGATGTTCGCCGAGGCCCTTGTTTCAATGCTGGTCTACCTCTTTGTGAAACTCGTGAGGATGGGATCGGGGTTACCGAGACAATGCCAAACAGCTTGCGCACACTGAGCACCTTTTAAAAACACCCCCATGGTTTTCTTTGGAAGGGCAATGAGGCTTGTACTGGTCGGAATCTTCTGGGTGACAGGACTTTTGGAGGATCTTGCTGGCGACTTCTTGGCCCCTGCGTTCGGGCGACAGGCCCTCTCTTTCGCCCCGCACTGCAAGAGGCCTCCCCTTCGCCACCCCTGTGCCGCGACGCCGACAGCCGCGACCAGGAGACTTCTGAAGAAGTCGGACATCGATACGCGCCACCTGAAGACGTGGATGATGGCGGGGTTGGTGCGACGGCTTCTTCCGGGACGGCGAGTCGACGTCACCGGCTCGGTGCGACTCTTCGGTCTTCGGACGCTTGTGGATCGGAAGGTCTGGAGAGTTCAAAGAAAAGAAGCACATAGATCACAGGGAAAGAACTGCAGCGAGGAAAACAGACCCACTCTTCAGTTCTTTTCTCAAGCAGGCAGTGCTTCTCAGGCCGAGTCTTCAGTCAGGTGAACGATCCCCAGATCTGCCTCTCCTCCCCTTTCTGGGACCTTTTCCGCCCCGAAATGGCTCACCAGATCAACTTCTTCCTCTACGTCCCACGGGTGAACCGGCTCTTGATGGTGAACTTCAAATGCCAACAATACGACACCTCCAGGCTGGGAGCTTTGGAGAGCTCGGACCATGGAAGGAGTTATGAACACTTTTGGATGGTACGGCGTGAGTCGAACTCGCAGTTTTTACCGGGGAACCCGGTGTCGTCCAATGCATGCAGAAGGGCATCTATGAAAGATGTACTTCCAAATTGTGCGATTTGATCCCTGATTTTGCAGGTTGACATTGAATCCACAAGTGCTTTGCTGGAGCAATGACCATGCAGTTTGGCAGACGATCAGTTGCTTGGAGCAAGCGCTGTTGGCAGTCACTGCTCCACCCGCAGTCTCGCAAGGATGGAGCTCCGGAAAGCGTGGGAATCGGGATCATTTCGGAAAACCCCAAAGGTGGATCACAGCCCCACGTCTCCTTCCCCCCAAAAAGAAGAGCATCTCCAAAAAGGTGCGAACAGGGCGGAACAAGGCAGCCGCTCCGCTCCACCCGCCCACCCGAAAGAACGGAGTTTCGGGCCGAACTGGGAGCCGACCTCGCCGTTCGACTCTTCGAAGGGGTTCGAACCCATCGCGGGGTGCCGTTCGCGTGCATCGCGGGGTGCGAGGCTGGGGAGGCGTTCTGGTCTTCTCATGCGGTGGCCCGCTCTTCCTCTACCTGATCCTCAGGCGATCGGTTCGTTCGTTCGAACCGTCGAGCTCGACGCGGGTTCGTTCGGTGCGTGACACGGGGGTTTCCGAGTCGGCCGAGCCGAGCCGGACGGATTTGGTGCCGATGTTATTGTGCGAAGAAGAAAGGATTGTGATGAAAAGAATGGATCACCAAGCAAACCAGCTGGATATGATCTTTTTCGTTCGCCGTGCTTGGCATCGAAAAACGGTGCGTGGACCTGCTTTTTTAGCCGGCATGGAGCCCGTCCATCCGTTGTAGAACCCGTCCGTCATCCATGGAGAGCCCATGCTCGGAGAGCATGTGACAGGAGACTGCAGAAGAATCAGCTTCTGAGTAGCTGGAGATCCCTCAGAACCTATGGTGTCATGGCGAACGTTCCAAAAAGGGTACGAATCCGGGTACGAAGGGTCTTAGTCTGCTCAGCCGTCTTAGGCTTCTTAGGCTTGCAAATGCTTCTTTGATTCACCCGAGTGGGTATGAACCATGTTCTTGGTGCGATTCCACCACTTACACTTGGTCTGAAAAATCCTGGAAGCTTGCGGTTTGGAGTTCGAATCCTGCCAACGAAGTGTTAAATAGCGCCTTCTCAACCAATTCTGAAAGCTTTTGACAATTGAACGCTGTCCTGGAATAGGACCTTGTTCAGAATGGTATGTTCAAATGCAATTTTACATTGCACATTATACAATAGAGCACCAATCAATCGTCGTACTGGGGGGCGACCAACCACTAGGTCTGTGTCAAAACTTGTGAACATCGGACACTTTTTTGCAACACCTTTGGAGACGTTATTTCTCTATTGTGTATAAATATATAACATTTTATATTTTGGCGGCACTGGTTTGCCAACGAAACATCCGAGGTTTCCTCTTCGCTGGCTTTGAGCCAGACTTCTACTATTTCGAATGCATCTACATGTTTCGAAAGATTTGCTTTGAGCTGGTGATGACGATCCCTGGCATGACCTCTGAGGATGAGGCCGGACGGGAGCGGAACGGCCGGCGTCGGTGATGGGAGGGGAAGAACTCGTTGTGTTGTTTTCTTCACAGGTCTGGGGCCGTGTGAAAACCCACGGCGCTGGGAAAGTCTGGACGTTTGTTTCGAGTTCGAGACTAACGATCAAACGCTGGGAATTGGAGGGGTTTTACTTGACACGGGCGAAACAATGCCCTCGGCCACAGAGACATTGGAACTCTTGGGAGCTGTGTACTGTAACTCCTTGAACTCCCACGCCGCTTGGTGTTTGGAAACGCCCAAGGAAGAAAGAAAGAAAGACAGAAAGAAAGAAATAAACAAAAAGAAAGACACACATCAATCTAAAGCGCAAAGCCGCAAAGAATGTTTCACCCAAGACTTGTGCCCACATTTGATATTTCCTTTCTACTTAAGAATGACAATATGTGTATATATATAATATATATGTCATATGTATGATATATACAAATATATATTTCAATACAACTTTCATGCAACCTCACCACCATTAGCTGCTACACATCTATTTAGCAATCACCATTTCTTCGATCGACCCCGACCCGATCGATGTCGGATCCGCCGGAAGGATCCGTCACTCCGACCCTCGGAACGAAAAAACGTGGGACCCCGACGCGGGGGTCGAGGCGATTCTCGGTCGCATCAACAACAGCAGCGTGGCGTTTGTGGCGTCGATCTTTTTCGCGCTGCACATGGCTTGCCAGCCCTATGACAACAGGCCGTGGTGCGGTCGCAGGGTGGGTCACGAAGCGGTCCAGACGGGAGCTTCCGGAACGGATCCTGCGGGGGGGAAGGGAGTGCTGTTGGGCTGGGAAGGGGAGCGATCTTGCAAGTAAACATGGGGAGGCATCAACATTTGATGCTACAGAAGTGTGCGAATTGCGCTGCCGAATGCGATCCTGAAGGATTGGATCGTTGAATCATTGGGCAACCAGGGGTTTAAGCTACAGCACATACTGTACTCCAATTGTGCTTGATCTCTGACAACCAAAAGAAGCATCCAACTGCTGCAAGTCCTCCAGCCCGGTGAGGGATTATTTCATCTTGGATCGCATTGAGACGGCCTCGTTGCGAGCCATTCTGGTGACGGCTTTCTTGCAGCTTTGGTGTTTGGACACGCTGCTGGGCACTGCATTCAGACTCCTTCCGGGTCCATTCCAGCGCGACCGCCGCTACGCGACCGCGACCGCGTAGCGACGAAATCTGGGGGCTTTGTTGTCACGGCCTCAAGTCGTTTGGATGCCCAAGCATGACAAGTCAGTGCCTGCTGAGGAATGAGGCAGATGGTATCAAGCACAATGAATGGCTTCGCCAAGGGCGGAATTTAGTCGGCAGCAGCCTGAGTTGATTTGGTTTGGACAGTGACAGTGACAGTCAAGCAGTCTCTTCACTCCAACTGATGCACTCATGCATCACCAGAGGGTTGAGTTCAGAAACCTCCATGAGGGGCGACCCACCTAGGTACCGTTGTCATACTCCTCTTTCATCTCCGCTTCTACTGGCTGCCCAGCAGCTTCACGCGCCGTCGTTCACGGGCGGCCGACTTGCGGGAGGTCAACCTACCAGGGAGAAAACGGGCCAAAACTTTTTTTTGGACCCACAGCCATGTTACTGAGTTGAAGAAGGTCTCGGTCTTCCACCTGACCGTCGTGAAACACGATGAGTGTGACGTGCCGCGAGGGAGCGAAAGGGCTCAGATGGAACTGGACATTTTTTGTAGTAGTAAGAATGCTCCTAGTAGCGATGCCAGGAGCCCCTAGTAGCGTCCTTGCTCCAAGTAGTAAGGCCAGCCCCTAGTAGCTCTTTGCGTGATGTGCACACAATCGCCACACCTTTTCCTCAGACCCAAGTGACATGCAAGAGCCCCTCTCGCTACGAACATCCTTGCGCACTTCTCCATCGCCACATATAAACACCAGAACATCTGGGCAGATTTCTTCCGCGGCCGCTCATGTTGTGCGAAGGCTCTGTGCGTGTTTGTTGCGGCGAGTGCCAAGGCTCTTTTTCTACGGCATGGCCCGGCGCCGGGTGCAGCAGTGCATGGCGGCGTGTCGAGGCGTGTCCAAGCGGAGGATGTTTGGATAGTATGACTCATATGGAATAAAAAAGATGAAGAAGAGCTAGCATGTTCGTTGAGATAGTGGAAATTCATGGGAAATAATACAACCGAAGTTGAAGTTAAAGTTGAAGACGAGGAAGAAGAAGAAGAAGGAAGAAGAGGAAGAAGAAGAAGGAGAAGAAGGAGGAAGAAGAAGGAAGAAGAGGAAGAAGAAGAAGAAGAATAACAATAATGAGAACCATAATAAGAAGAAGAATATGAAGAAGAAGAAGAATAAGAAGGAAGACGAGGAAGAAGAAGAAGAAGGAAGAAGAGGAAGAAGAAGAAGGAAGAAGAGGAAGAAGAAGAAGGAAGAAGAAGAAGAATAATAAGAAGAAGAAGGAAGAAGAGGAAGAAGAAGAAGAAGAATAAGAGGAAGAGGAAGAGGAAGAGGAAGAAGAAGAAGAAGAAGGAAGAAGAGGAAGAAGAAGAAGGAAGAAGAGGAAGAAGAAGAAGGAGAAGAAGAAGGAAGAAGACGAAGAAGAAGAAGAAGAAGGAAGAAGAATAAGAAGAAGAAGGAAGAAGAAGAAGAAGAAGGAAGAAGAGGAAGAAGAAGAAGGAAGAAGAGGAGGAAGAAGAAGAAGAATAAGAAGAAGGAAGAAGAGGAAGAAGAAGAAGAAGGAAGAAGAATAAGAAGAAGAAGAAGGAGAAGAAGAAGGAAGAAGAAGACGGAAGAAGAGCAAGAAGAAGAAGAAGGAAGAAGAGGAAGAAGAAGAATAAGAAGAAGAAGAAGGAAGAAGAGGAAGAATAATAAGAAGAAGAAGATGA